CTAATGAATGCGCCCACCCATGCTGGAGCTGGTGCCCCCCTAAGAACTCAATTCAAGAACAACTTTTTAAACTCATAAATGAAATCAAAGGGCTCATTCTATGAGCCAAAGAACTTACAATTTTAGGCGGGACGGTTAATGGGTGGTTACTATAGGTTGTCCCCTTGGTTTGCAGTATATAGTCTCGCAAGAAAAAATAAAAAGCAAGAGACTGAACACATACACAGCATTCCAATTAATTCAATTTCATCCTTCTCCAATGAATCCATAAATTGTTACCACCCCAGTTACCGCACAGAGCTTGAGTGACTTGCCCAGCATCAACCAAAGTAAACTCGCAGGATCTTGACTTACTTACCTGTGCTCAGACAAGACCTCCTTCTAGATACTAGACAATCACTGAGCAACCCAAAACCCTCAAGTTGGCCATGAAAACTTGAGCAAGAGCATCCAGGAAATAATTTTTAAGACTCCTGCCACTCAGCCCTCCCAAGGACTCCTGTTCCTGTGTGAATGAGCACTTGTCCTCTCAAACACAAGCCGTGAAGCCTGGTGGCAATGGCCGGAGGACTGAATAAGCCGGTTGTGCTACTGAAGCGAGACACGGATCTAATCCCATGATGAGGAGATGACTCCTTCAGAGAGGCCTGTTATAAAATTATCGAGTGACACGGGGGGTGGAAAGAATCAAGGCCGTTGTAATTTAACCGACTTGAAATAATAAATGCACACACTTTCTTTAAACACAGCTTGCCACATCCTGAGAATCTGGAATCAATTCTTTCCCTTTCAAGAAGCTTAAAAGTGGTGGGACTTTGATATGGCATGAGCATGTTTGCTTCTGGGCTTACAGCCCTCGCCAGCCCGTTCCAAACCTTTCAACATTTTTATATTATAAGACAGAAAAGTTAGGAAAACAAAGATGGAAAAAAAGAATCAGAAATTCAGGGAACTATTAAACCAGGGCAGCCAAGCTGCCAAATACCTTTGGTAAGTAAATGAATCATGATCAATAACATATTGCCATGCAGACTTACAGAAGAAGGTTATCACCTGCGTCTGTGCCAGGCATAAAACATAACAGCGTGTGGCTAATGAAGTACTGCATGGATCCAGAAAAAAAAAAAAAAGTACTGTTTTTCTCTGTAACGTTAAAGCAGTTTACTTCAAAGTAATTTTAACTCATCCAGAAAAAACATTATTTTTTCCACGCAAACTTTGTCAAAATCGATAGGCTACCACGAAATACTGCTCTTTTGACAATGTCCCATTTGTAAGAGAAAACTGTCTCAATAGAAGGAAACCCATTTTGTTAAGGGGATGTTTCAGCCCTGATTGTAAAGCTGCTTGCTTTATATATTCGCATATTTGCCAGCAGAGGGTATCACAATCTTAGAAACAAATAGACATATGCATCGTTGTGTCTATTCATTTACATGCAAGAACTCAGACAGACACTAAAACAAGAAATCACAAATCTTGTTTTCCTCAGTAACTTTTCCACTGTCAGAAAAAAAAACCAAGAAACTTTTAGGTACTTAAAGGCTATAGGTTCTGTTTTGATGCCTTCTCGCCACCTCTCTCAGAATAGGAAACATTGCAATGACATCACCAAGTGATGGCATCACTTTGAGTCTGAATTTGTTGCATGACTCTGGCTCTAAAGCCTCCTGGGAGGAACACCAGCTTGGGCTCATCTTGGGTGTGCATTAGGTTCTCATTAATTCTCACACCCAGTATCCTCACACTGCTCAAATCTCATTAATTATCCCAACCACTTCACACCACTTTTCCGCTAAGATTTAATAGCCACGGGCTGTAGCAAGAGCTCATGTTACGGAGACCGCATGATGTCTGCTAAACCAGTGTGCTATGAAGAACGATCATATATAATTACACCTAACCCACACTTCCTACAGCTAGAGATAGGCTGATGCTACAAATTCCCAGCCTGATCTCCCACACATTAATGAATTCACCTTCCTGACTCCCAAGTTGAAAGAACATAATTTAAACAACTTGTTGTTTGGTGCTTTAGCTGACTTGGTCTTCAGCACTCCCCTATTCCCAACCAAAAGAATGTTTGGTGCTTTAGCTGACTTGGTACCAATTCAGCACTCCCCTATTCCCAACCAAAAGAAATTAAAATTATTTTCTATGTACTGGTCTGGATTGTCCATTCTGGTTTTGATTTATTAACAAATCTTTTCTATTTGTGTATTTTGACCATGTGCAACTGATGTCCTGGACACTGGTGTGGCTTCCCAGCTGAACCCAGGCACTTGAGTCAGCCAGAGCTAGGAGAAAATACAGAGGATGACTCTGAGACATGTATCTGAGAGCTGTGGTGTACAGGAAATGCATAAGACATAACCACAAGCAGCAACCTGTTCTTTTTGGATTTTGCCTGCCCACATGGAGACAGGGACATTCTCCTAAGTAATTATATTTTTCGCTTATAATACGTTTTTTACTATTACAGAACTATATACAACTACTTCTGCTGTTATATAGGAAAGATAATGCATCAGAACCTGCTGCAAAATGACACGTATCAGATCAGGGCCAGAGCCCTAGATCTTTGTGTCCCAATTTTAAAAAATACCAACCAAAAAGAAACACGTTCATTAGGAAATATGTGGAGTGGTGCTGTCCTTTCTTTTTGGCACATAGTCTTTTCACTACTTAAGAAATCTAACACAACTGCCGTTTGATGAACTCAATATCTGCCATCCCAGTCAGCCCGAAGAATTAACTGCTGAAGGTTCAGATGAGCTGGAGAGGAAAGTGGGTAAAATGTCCCTGGGATAAGGGAAAAGCTATTCCTACTTAGCCCCTGGAAAACTGAAAGTGAAATACTCTGCTGAAATCAAGGTCTACTTCCCCCATGGCGTAAGTCTGCACTGACAGTCCCAAGGACTCCGAGGTCCTCAGGTACTTTGCCCCGTTGACAGAAAGAACATGTAGGTGCTACTTATACTCTGCTCATCTCTGCTTTACTCTCCTTGCACTGCAGCTGTAAAAAATTAAGCTGAAAGCTTTTCTCCACTTCAAAGAGGAAAGTTGAGCATCAGTACGTTCAGGGTTCGCAGTGTGTCTGGATATCACAGGAGCATGAACCAGCCAACAAAACGGAGCAAGGACATTTGCAGGGAACGGAGATTGTTCCTCTCCTGCAGCTGAACATCTCTCTGCTCTATAACCTTGGTGCTCCCAGTTGATGCTGGGAAGGACTTTCCTTTTATTTTCAAGAGTAACTAAACCAAGAGTCTGTAAGGCAGAACTAGGTAAAGCTCCCATTAATCACACTGCAGCTAGGAAAGGTGCGGAGACCTGGTCACGAGCACTTTGCAGGGCTAGATTCCTTATCTCATAGTAGTGGATATCCAACCTTGAATTCCAGTTCTGGTTATAGCCAGACGCAGACACCTCTGGGATAGCCATTTATTACTGCCTGGAGCTGCCAGTCCTTGGGAGCCTGGGGATTTGCACACTGCAGAGTCACTGAGAAGCAACCCATTGGGATTATGTATGTGGACAGACACCCGTGGCTGGTTTAGAATGCGAGGGGCATCACAGCTGAATTTAAGATTTACAGTTGCGGAGCAGACCATAAAAATTCCTTGTAAATGGCTAAGATAGTTATTTTTACTGTAACATCTATTTAGTCTAAGTCTTAATTTATCTTCCTTTTACAACTTCCTACAGAGGCTAGCTGAGCATCCCATTAGCATTAGGCAAAAAAAGCCCCAACTTTTTAGCATTCCCTGAGAAGTGAAGCACTGTAATTATTTCCTTCTGTTAACAACGCAAAAATATGATGGAGCAGATTGTTATCTGTCATAAATCATCATTTAGCCATTTTCATCTCATGGGTCAGCCCCAGGCAATGAAATATAATCACACAGATGAAATCTGTGGCAGAGCTGGAACCTGAAAAAATCTAGTCGTGTCTGAATGATATGATATGAGCACATGGTGTTTAACATGCCTTGGGTCTCTGTCTGTGAAACTAGTAATATAAGGTAAGATGTACACCAGTGAGCAACTGCAGATAGTCCACTAGATCATCTCAAGGGATGTGGCAGTGTTGAATCATAGAATCACAGAATGGTTTGGGTTGGAAGGGACCTTAAAGATCATCCAGTTCCACCCCCTGCCATGGGCAGGGACACCTCCCACTAGACCAGGCAAATCGATTAGCTTTCATGGAGCAACAGGAGCTTAGGCTAGCTGTAGTTGTGTGTCTCTGAGGGGAAAGGAATGTGGAGAAGAAAAGCTACTTCATTACAAAGACAATGTAGGATGCGTGCAAATACTCGTAGCATCCAGCTTCTGGGGAGGGGGATTGCTTTTGAACACACAAACATGTGAGGGAAACTCTGGAGCTTATGGAGTGCTATTACATTTCTTAAAGTCAATTCTTTCATTTAATTACTTTATGTTTAATGTCTTGACATAACACAGTTTAGAGCAAATTAGCTATAACTGTGTAACATAACTGTGAGATAAGTGGGCCAAGAGTCTGATGGTCACACCTAACAAATTGTGAAGGGTCAGGGCACGAGTTGCTCTCACCCAGTCATTCGTCACTAAATTATTAGTACTAGTATGGGTTTGGGTCCAGTCAACACACGCTCCTCTAAGCAGTGCCTGGGCAGAGTAGAGGGGGTAACACGGGCCACCAGCCACTTCCATTAAGCAGTATGGGATCCTGTTCTGGTGAGGAAGCTGGGCTGTATGGACAGGAGCCATGCCATGGCAATTGGTAAAGTGGCTACTGGATGCTCTGCAGCCTGTTATATTTACTAGCATAAATGTAGTCAATCCAACTGTGGACATGTAAATTGAGTCCACTGAACCTACCATCTCAAGTTGATCAGCAGCTGTACCTGGTGTCATATGAACAGCGTTTACAATGAAATGATGGGAAAATGGCAAAATTATTTCCCTTCTAAGCACATAAACTCCCTGGCTCATTTGGTAATGATCCTACTCACCAGCATTATCCTGCTGCTTGGTATTTTTGATGTATGCAGAAAATTTGGAGAAAATATCAATTCCAGCAGTGTTTGATTCCCGGTGCTTAGCAGCCAGCTTGGGGTACCTGAAAAGGGAGAAGCAATGTGGAGAGTCACACCTTGACGCCAGCAACATAGTGATGATTACAAATACAATTTATAAGAAGAAAGGAAAAAGACCTGTACAAGGAACTGCAATTAACGATGTCATTTATCTCAAAACAAGAGCTTGGCAAGTCCCTCTTAATAATACCCGTGTCTATCAAGGCAGGTGTTTGGATAGTTACACAAAGATGTCTTCATGACAAAGGTAATTGCACTGGTGTTTTATGTGACCATGATCCAAGATACAGTGGCCTTAAAGAAGAAGGAAGCATAAAATTCCAGAAAGGTGCAGGGGAGTTTGGCAGTCAGCTCATTCTGTTATGTATGAATGGCAGTCATGACTAATTCCCTACGCTGAAAATGTACTCCAGGATGTAATAGCAAGGCGTGTTAGTATCACCCAGGTGAAGAAACACGAAGTTTCCAGTCTCTGAATTGTTCTTTATAGAAATCTGGTGCAAAGGAAGAAAATTATTTGAAAGACCAACACAAAATAATGACTTCTACTGATTCCAGTGGTCTTGGACCAGATTATATAAAATTTAAATATCTGGTCTCTTGCCTCAGGACTGGCCTATAGCTGCTGATTCAGTTGGAGGTATAACACTCCACAAGGAACCAAGCCAATTTTCATTGATTCATAAAGTCCAAAACATAAGCCAACGATTTTTTTTCCCATTATGTTTTTATTAAGTCCAAAATGTTTGACTAACTAAGGCATATCTGGTGAATCTGAACCTTTCCTTGGTAGCTTGTTCCAATAGTTAATCATTGATACTGAAAAAATCTGTGCCTTGTTTCTAATCCAAATTAGTTTGGTTATAACTTCCAGTCATTTCTTGACTACACTAATAGTCATAACAATGACTATAGCTTGTCATTTCTTGACTAGAATAATGAGCACCTTCCTGCCTCCAGAGCCTCTCATACTCTGTAATCAGTTCCCCTTCCAACCTTCCTAATACACCATACAGCACAGAAACCTCCAGTTTTTTGCTGTAAAAATGCTTTTCCTGGCACAGATATTTTGTGTGACAATTCTCGGCATCTATTCCAAGTTATTTTTAGCTTTGCAAAATGTGTACACCAGACCCCTACAAAATTTTTCTAGTATTGGTCTCCTTAATTCTGCATACAAGGGCATCCTGAAGTGTGTACAGAGAAAACATTCTGCAGTTATTAGTCATACAAGTAACCTTCGCACATGGAAGTCATCTCACTGAAGCCAGCAAGTTTCATAAATAAATATTACTCCTGTAAGTAAAGATCATAGGAGGGAGTGCTTTTTAGGAACTCCTCTTAGGACATCTTTCATTGCTAGGAAATGGAATATTGACTGAAAAAATCCCAAGTTCTTACTTTGGAGGTGCAAGAGTCTCTTCCAAGAATTCCTCAATTTTGTTAACATCTGTCTTGACTTCTCCATTAAAAGTCAAGAAAGGTGGGTGGGTCCCAGGAGCCAGGTTGTGTAGGTCAGCTGGCTTTCTGCAGAGAGAGAAAAAGCCATGAAATCACTAATCTTTACGGTCAGGTAGTTGCACAGATATTTATAGTTCCTACAAAATCAGTTTGCCCTTCTCTTTTTCTCTGTAGTTTGTGGTTAGAAGAATTTGAAACTACCTCAAGCACCCTGTTTAATATAAAAACATTCCACTAGTGAAAAAAAATAAAACCAAACCTGAATCCCAACTATTTTGTTGTGCACCACAGACTCTCTAGGCTAGATACAAATCTGATTTAACTTGGTGGAGCCTTTCTATAGGGCAAACACTAGTTCATATCACTATTTTCAATTAAATTGAACAATTTTTACCTTTTCAGGTCAACAGTGGTGACGTTGAACACAACTCCTTTGAGCCACAGGATCATGAAGAGCCGCTGGGAGAACGGACAGTTTCCAATGCTTTCTCCATCTATACCAGCCTAAGGGATGGAAAGACAGGAAAAACAGATTTCAGACTTGTTAGTCACTTACCTCCCTCAAGATGCAAAATTGGATGTTGAAAGAAAAATAACCAGTTTAAAAATAACTGACAGTGACTGTTATTTTATATAGTTTATTATCACAGGAATGGAGTTACTCCAGTACTCAGCCTTCGTTAGGAGCATGAGAAAGCAACCTGGTGTCTCTCCTGAGGGCAGCTCTGGGTAAAGGAGTTGCGTCCTTTGTTAATGGCAAGCAATATCCAGGAGACCGTATGTTCTTTTGATTACTCTCATCCCTACAGGACTGCCTGCTTCATGGACATGCAATAAAACTCAGGACAGGTTTTCTGCTCTATTTAAGTCTGCGGATTGCAGCCCAAGGTCTGCTTCCCTGTTTTACTATACAAAATGTGGGACTTCAGGTCTAGATTTAAACCCAAGTGCTCCAGACATTCCCTCGTTCTTGTTCACATTCAGTAAAGCAACAGCCTCAGACACAAACAACCAGATCCAGACAGAAATCTCCATCCGAACCCTTCCAAAGTTCAAGGCAGATTTCAGCCACCACATTCAGTCTGTTCCTATCTCTAGTACCTAATGAGTTGCCTACAAACCACTACAAAGCAATAAAAAACTGCTAGTGTTAGCATTGAGGAAATAGCCTGTTTTTTCCTCTAAAAATTTATGGTCCGTAGCCACGCAAATTCTGACTTTGAGCCATAGAGGGATACAAATAACACTGGCTGAACTGAGCCAAAGCTGCATCCAAGGACAACATCCTTCTACAATAATTACCCTTGTGGCCAAAGCTTTCAGGACGATAATGGTTTTGATAGATTTCCATTTTAATTTGTGGTACCATTGTGTTTAAAAGATTCCTATAATCCTGGTGAAGCAACCAACCTTCCGTTGTTGACCCACACGGGTTGCATAACTGCATTTTATGCACACAGTGTGTGTCCGAAAACAGCTGATGAAAGAACTAAGCAAATACATGCCCTTTCCCTTTGGAGAAAGTATTATATTACTCTGTTTGCTCTCATAAATTTTATCTTATTAATATTCAAGCTGTGAGGTAGCATTTCTCTATCTTAAAGAAGGAATCACTTCTAATTATCGCAGTACTGTGAAACATTCACAGCACAACAAGAAACATTTTGAGATGCATCCAGATGCTACAAATTCAGACCTTGCCTGTGCAATATTTAGCTGAAAGATTTTCTGGTAGGCGTCATGAATCTTTTCCATGTCTTGAACACAGCTTTTGATGATTCTGAGTTTAAAAACAAATTCCAGTTTTCCAATCCACCAAAATATAGAGCATGGAATCAAGGCTTGGAGGTAACGCATTGTAAAGTTTAGAGGATTTTTTTGGAGTTCAGATTTGGCTTCAAACACTCTAGAGATATTTGGATATGAGGGTTTACAGTTTGGCTGCATTGCTACCTGAAATTGTGGAGCTGTCGTATGCATGGCACATGGTAAATACAAGATCTGGCACCAATGTGAGTGAAAGAGTGGCACCACTGTATTATGCACAATAATTACTGCGAAGTCACATTTGTTGACTTGGCTTTGGCTTGTTAAACCATTGCCAAGAAATTTTAACTTCTTACCTTTCCTGAAAAGAGGCAAATGTTCTAGGAGAAAACAGCAATATGATGTCAAATTTCCCCTTGGCTTTTTTACCATCTCAATCATAATCATATCCTTCACAATGGAGTTGTCTAACTGTGTCTACAAACAATACATTACAAACCTACAATTTGAAGAAAAACAGATCAATGATTGAGAGGGCAAACAAGTGCAGACAGAAGGGTTGATTCTCATCTTACCTTCTCTAGATTTACTTTGGCTTAGAACTCCATTGAGTCTGATTCACTCTTCACCTGACTCCCTTCAATGTGAGTGTAAAACCCTGGTTTCTCAAGTCCTGATAATACCTTGTGAGCAAAGGGATCTTGTCTCACAACAATAGGCAAAGTTCCAGATCTCCATCCTGCATGGAAGCAATCTCCTGCCTGTCCTCATCACCACTTCTTGTGCTGCAAGGAACAACTCCACCTTTTTCAGAAAAGAGACTCAGGGGACCATTTCTCTGCTCTCTCCAATTATATATTCTCACACAAAGGTTAAGGGTTACCCAGATCTGCATCTTTTTACAAGTTTACATCCTGCAAGGTAATGGTGAAAAACTCTCTCAAGATGAGAGAGGATTGTTGGAGAACAAAGCAGATGAATGGCAATGAAGACACAGAAGTGATGCATTGTGTGATGTTAAGAGATGCAGAAGTCAAGGGGGACAGGAGAAAGATGTGAAGTCTGGAAGAAATAAGATTCACTTAGACATAAAAACAAAATTAATTATGGAGGTCAAACAAGGCCTCCAACAGCCCCAAATGGTCAAAATATCTTCCCAACACTTCCAAAACAGTGGGAAACATTAATTGCTAGAGACATGTTGGGAATAGAGAGAGGAAATTCCAGAAACAAAAGATTAACTGAAAAAAAACAAAAAAAAAAAAACAAAAACAAAAAAAAACAAACAGTGTGATCTCTGTTCAAAGCTCCTAGATCTGGAAGCCAGGCTCATGATTTGGGTGAAGTCTGACTCATGGGTTTTGATCTCATGTGACTGGCATGACTGAAAACTCTACCACAAATCACAAGGCAAACTGGTGACAGAGGAGGGAACAGAATCAAAATCTTCCCAGCAATACAATTTATCCATTAAATTCAGCTCTTTTTCTGCTGAAATTATAGGCAAGGCTCTGTTGGTTTTGTGAATCCTTTCTCATTGCTTCTAGCAGCAGTCAGTAATTCAATGTTCAGCACTCAGAAAGAGCAAAACCTTAGTGGGTAACAACTTCAAAGGCCTATCAGAGTGTTTCAAGATCCCTTGTGAAGGCTATTAACTACCAGAAGGAGATGAGGAAGAACAGAGAACCTCCCAGGCTTAGTCACTTCTAGCTTCAAAGGAAAACAGCTTGCTTAAAGTTCCCTGGTAGGGTCTAAATACCAGCCTATTATGTATCTGTCCAAGGTTATGCGCTCAGAAACACAGGAACTAAATAATAGCTTAATCAAGAACAAGAACTCACACTGTAGATGGAAAGAAAAGAACAAATAATCGACAAGCTAGAGAAACACCAGTTATCCCTGCTGTTATGCACAAATGTGCACAACAGCTTTCTGACGTAGCTTCCCTGAGCACAGCAGAAGTGATCAACCGCTTACAAAAAGGAACGAGTTGATGATATATGCACTCACCCTGCCAGTAACGCTGAATATTTCTGATTTAATAATTGCAACTGGGGATAGCCATGAGGCTTTGTGGGCACTGAGAGAAAGGACACTGAGTTTTTTAAGTCCCAAAGCTGTGAAAGGGTTTCAGAGCCTCCTTTTCCCTATGGAGAAAGACCTCACCTGAAAAGGCAAATTCCCTGAGTGACTGTGGAAGAGTAGAATTGATTCGAGGATTTGTTGGGTGGGACTCTTTGGCCAATGCTCATCCCACTGAAGTTTAACTGCGATGCCGAAGGGAAGGTCTCCTGTGCAGGCAAGGCCAAGATGCACATCCAAAAGATGAATCCAGCCACCTTTTGCTTTGACTGATGAGTGTGAACCCAGCAACAGAAAAGCCTGGAGTTTGTGGAGGCAGAATTTCTAGGGAATTATTTTGCTCCATCTTGGAAAAATCACTTTCTGCTCCTCTTGTTTCACATAAGCTTATTTTTATTAGTTTACCTACTAAAAAAAAAATATGCTTTTCGACTTAATTTCCAGCTGTTTAGGTACTTCACACCCACTGATGCAAGGTCCTGCCCTGGAACTCGGGATAATCACATCAGGAAAACCCCACCACCATACCAGCTGCTTGCCTCTGTCTGAGTAATGGCAAGAATGAACAAGATGTTTTCCTTTACTATTTATAAGGTGCTCCTCCTTAAATACTTCAGCTATTTTTAATGAATTAATTAAAACTTAAAGACATTTGTGTGCACAAGTGGGGGATGCACAGACACATTGCCGAAGAACAAAATTAAGGATGTTTCAGGGAGGGGAGGGAGGAGAAAAAACCTTCCAGAGATTTTATAAGCTTGTGCCAAGTATTTTTGTAAAGTAGGAGTACTATCAAGAGCCTCCAACTACTGCACAGCACAGCTGAACAATGTGAACAGGGAGCTCTTCTCAAGTTCAAGCTAATGCTTTGCAATAAATGAAATACCTAGAATAAACTTCTTGACTTGATACAAAAATACTGGTACATGCACAGTGACTGCAATGCACACAGACAGCTGTACATTATTTTAATGAACCTTAAGGGGGGAAAAAAAAGCAAGTTTCATTTCCAGTTATTCCCAAACTATAGCAGCTTTAAAGAAATACACCGTCATTAATAATGACTAAGCATCTAGCTTAAAAATGGCAGCACTGGAAAGAGTTGCGTAATTGGAAAGCACAGTGTTTTTTCCAGGGAAATAATATATTTGGTTTTACCTATTCTCCTTCTCCTTTCATTTTTCCTTGCACTGAGGCCACTCCACACAATGGTCCAATGGTCTCTGAGACTCTAGGGTGAAGTAGGGTGATGTTTTTGATGACACTAAGACACATTTCTTTTTCGAAAGGATTTTAACAATTTAGGAAAAGTAGGCAGGCTAATTCACCTCAATGTTTCCCAGTAAGGATTAAGGAGGGATTTGATTTCATCATCCCTACAATCAAAATCTAGGCTCACATTACACATGGTTACACCCTCTCTGTTTTAAAATTGGGAAAGCTCCTGCCTTTTGACACTTACTCTCCTTACACTCAGAACCCAAAGGGGAAGTGAAAATCGTATTCAAAATGCAGAGCAGGCCAGGAAATATCCTATTTATTGTGCCATTAAAAAAAAAAAAAATCTGTCTTAGTAATTATACCACACACACAATAGCACAAATCAAAAAAATCATTGGCTGCAACATGAGATCAGGCATGCCAAGGTATTGCTTTAGTAAGGGCAATTTTTTTCCAGTTTCTCGTCTCTTTTCTTTCACAACTTCTCGTCCAAATGTAAAAGCCAGTAAGCTATTTGGAGTGCCACCAACGGAGAGGCAAGCTAAGAAGCATATATTCATAGAACAGCACTGGTAGGTCTCAAGTAAGAAGTAAATCTTGTAGCACAAGCCGTGTATATCACAGGACACTCTTGTTGACTGTGGCTCTGGTTCAGGAAAGCATTTAAGCATGTGCTGAAATACATCCCAATTTGGAGGAAATATATGCTTGACTTTAAGCATGTTCTTAAGTCTTGACAATTTCAATGGGACTTAAGCACATACTTAAGTACTTTCCTGAATGGGGGCCTATAACAACAAGAATAAATTTGCTGTGCAGCATTTTAACTTCGTTGGACTTTTTCCGAGAGTTCATTTTGTTCAGAGAAACTCTTCAAGGGAGGGCAAGATAGAGCAGGAATATATTCCTAGGCACACACACATGGAAATGGACCATGTGCATATATGTCAAATAAAAATAGAGCATTTGCTAGAAAGACTGGCAGGGTAGTAACAAAACAAAAAGGAAGTGGTGAAATTCTTTAGCCAGTTCTCCAAAAAGCCAGCCAAAATGTTGTCCAAGTTTGGCATCGATACAGACATACATTGTAGAGGCACATAAGCTGAACTTGGTCTGCTCTGTCAGCCAATTTGAAGGGAGCTGGCTCGTTACGCGCGGTTCTAACCAGCTGAGTAGCACGTCAGTAGAGTTGGGGATCTCCAAGTAGCTGCCGTTACACTTCTCAGATCTCTGCATTTTTGGGAGGGATGCATTTGTGCTCTTGAGATGTTCAGGATTTTCAGGAGATGGAATTGCAGGTTGGAGACCTCGTGAGCATCAGTAGTTACAACATGACAAATATTTTATTTAGGTTTGGTAAATTGTTATTTTCCAATTTTTTATATTCACATGAATGGCAGTATGGGCAGGAAGGGATCAGTCCCATAGGTTAGCTTCTTCCTTGGAATCATTTCCTGATGGCTTAGGATGTTTACAGGTAAAGATCAGTTAGCCCAAGGTGGTCCATGCACCTGGTGCAGAGCAGATTCACCTTCCACATCAGCTGAGGTCCTGGTGGCAGCACAGCCACATGCACAGTGATCAACCTCTACAAATAGGTCCTGGGTTTCCTCAAGGACTTTTTTAGAGACACTGGACACTATATGTTCTTCATTAAATATGTTTTGCTTTGAAGTAAGCTTTGAGATGCCTGAGAACTCCAACTGGTCATGAATGGTCTGGATTTAGGAAACTACAGACTGGTCACTGGTAGATAAACTCAGCTTGTGAAGGTGACGATCTTCCATCACCTCTTCTGCTTTCTTTAAAGAACTAAAGGTCCATGACTTGATGAATATAAATAAAGTAGGAAAGTACCTACTGGTCCAACACCCTGGAACAGGGCATTATTTTGTTCTCATTTATGTTTTTAGATCCCTTACTTATCATTGCATGCATTCAACTTAATGAGATATTAACAGTAAATAAGCAAAGGAAGTAGGAACTATAATGAAACTTTATACACCAAATACATACAGTGATTCCTGAATTAAGGATGGGACCAAAATATTTTTTTCTAGGAGATCATGTTCCATCTGTGAGGAATCGCTGCATATCAAATCTGACTTTCACATGGTGATGTACAAGAGAAAAGCTCCCAGAAGAGTGAGAGTCATTAAGTATCATCAGCAGTATCACAGAGACAAACCACATCGAGCTCGTCTTTCATCCTTTTCAAGGATTCTTTTCATGTCAGCAAAATATCAACTAAAGGATGGGTGGTAAGTGCAGGCTGATTTTTTCAAAGCAGCTACCATTTTCACATCCTATGATACAATTTGAAGGCAACTGACTTCTCACAGATATCCACTCTCCACCCCTGGAAAATCAGGCCCGGAGCCACCCAGAAGAAATAGTGACCTTTAGAAGTCTTAGTAAGAATTTACTAGATCTGCTTTGAGAGTATCCCTGACTGTGAGCTTCTTGAGCAACTAGGCAAAATATTAATATAAAGGTGTTGAAAAAAAAATCTCCTTTGGAAGAATGTTCTTTTGAGGAGCAGACTTGGAATTTGGCAAATACCTGGTGGAGATGTTCAGTGGCTTTGGCCATACCACCTTGGAAATATGCCTGGAGTCCTGGTCTGTGGCTACCCCCATTACCCAGACAGAGATAGGGAGGGTGCTGGGACCATGTGAAGCCATAAGAGTCATAGGAGCACGAGGTCCCAGCAGCTCGGCCAGGACTCACAGGGCTCCTGGCTGCCCAGCAGCCCACCACCAGCCAAAATCTCCTTTCAATATTACTGTTTCAGCTTCCCTTCTAGCGGAAAACCCACAGCTTCTCTTCTGTAACACTCTGAATGTTTTAAAACATATTTTTTAGACTTAGAGCAATTTAGATCAAAATCTTGAAATTCTTCAAAACCCAGGATTGCCATTCTCATCACAGCTCTCATTAGCAGAATATGCAGAAAGTTGGTGTGCTTCTGGACATAGTGGGCTGGACACAGTGGACTAAACACATATGTTTCTTTCTTGGCTTGATGGACAAACAGTAATCATCCTTTACACTTCTTTCCGAGCCTTTTCCACCCTAATAAATCAATTGTGCTCCCATCACTTACCAGTATCATGGCACAGGATCCTGTGAACCCACATTAGCCACTGGATGTAACCACAGAGAAGAGCTTTTCAAACCATTGGTTTTGGGGGGCCCATCTTCAAGAATTCATTGCAATTAACACTCCATAGGAACAGGAAAAAAACTCAAGAAATGACAGAGATATAAGCTTAACATATAGAAAAAAACTGGAGCAAACAATTAAACAGTGAACTCTTCAGTGCATGTGGAAATGTAAAGTTGATAAGAAAAGATAATAAGGACTTATCAGGAACAAATGACATCAAACAAAGTAAATTTTGTTCTCTGACAGGGTACCCAGCATGGTGGGTAGGAAGGAAGCAGCAGGTATCTAGAAGCTGACTTCTGTAAGGTTTCCAACATAAGCTCCAGACCATATATTCAAAAACAAAGTAAGGAAATAGGACCTGTACAAAATCTCTGCAAGTGCTCTGCAGCTACGAGTAGTTGAAAAAGTACTTATGGAACAGCAATAATCAAGTTTTCTGTTAGTTTAGAAACACATAGCAAATAGAGATACCATAAAGGACTATGACAAGATGAGTCATATTTAATGTTTCCATTAGCAAAATGGAGGAACAGAGAGACAGAACCCTACAAAATTTCCCAAGAGCAGCAAGCACGAAGAGGTTATTGGTATTTCCCATGAGAGGAGCAGACTCCAAATTGATGCTAAGAAGTTGGAACAAAGTGTCTGAAATCACTTAAATGGAATTTGGGAAAGTAAACTTCAAGTTATAAGATGTAAGAAGAACAAAATCTAATGTAGAAATGCAGGGTGGGAATAACTGATGGGGCTGTGAGGATGAAAAGAAGGAGGTTTTACGTAAATCATAAACAATATGAATCCAAGCAACCACTGACAAGATAATGCGATATACACGAGATGTTCTACCACTACATAACAGTCTTCAAGCATGCAGAAGGCCGTTTTACAAAGAGGATGATGATCCATTGTTCTTCATGCCCACAGAGGATAGGATTAAGTATTTTGCTTAATCTGCAACAATAAAGCTTTAGGGGGAAAAAAATCCAGTGCAATTATAGGACTAATGAAACACAAAGCAGGCTTTCTAAGGAGGTTGTGTAATCTGCATTAATGGAGGCTTTGAAGAAATCAAAAGAAAAAGAAGTTGGTAGAACTGGTCTCGATTTATTTCATCCTGCTGCAGAGCAGAGAGGGTGCACAAGATGTTTTAAAATCCTTTCTAACAGTATATATCAGTGACTCTGACAATAAAGTTGTTCTTGCTGTTAGTGCTAGATGCTTGGTGGCACAGACTTTTGCTTTCCTCTGACCTGCACAAGATGAAGTCTGGCCCCGGTAAAGTCAATGGGAATTTTGCCCATGACTTTGACAGGACCAGAATTTCACTCATAGGTTTAATGGCCAGAAGGGACAATTATCATAATCTTTCCTGACCTTTTGAGTAATACAAACCATAGATCTCATTCAGCCTGTAGCCAACATCTTGTGGTTGAACTAGAGCATATGTTTTGAAAAAATTTCAGGACAGACGTATGCTAGACATAGAGTGGTAGTAAAATCCCCTCTAGTGGCTTATGTTTGCATTGCAGGGTGAAGTTCTCACGGAAGTCAACCACAAATATCCCGTTTGTAGAATTTTGCTACAGGTAGCTAACTTACCCAATAGCTTCTATATGTATTATTTTTTACTCCAAGTTGCAGTGCTGTATGTGAGTTAAACTCGTGGAGGGAACCTTAGTCACAGGATTTGGGGAGTCAGGCCCCAGCAGTACTCAGAAAAAGGTCACAATTTTAGTAAAAGTCAATAGAGACGCTCAAGCATCAGTTGCTGCTTGGTTATCTTGGCTACATCGGTGTATCTGACAGGAAGAGGTAAAGGATGTTGAAGAAGAAAGGCATAAATCCTTTTTTAAGACAAATAAACTTGTCTTGCAACATACGCGTACCGGATGGCAGAATGCAGCTCCGACACGTCGGAAGCCTGTGCCTATAGGGTCATATTCTGGTTTTGGCCTTTTGGTGCCACAGCTATTATGGGTTCTACTCTAATACACTTGATCTAATTCCCTAACAACCAATATTCATACAAAATATTTCCACTAATGACAAATATTCCAGTGACTTCAGTGAGAGCAGAGTCAGATTTTGGATTCACTAGTTTCTTTCTAATAAGTGATTAAAACCACAAGCAGTTTTATGGGCTCTGGAGAAAGAATTTCAGCATGAATCTGGTTTAGCTATTCACAAAGCACCAATTACAATTGTTTCAAATATTGATGATTCTCTATCCTGACAGCCGAGTAGATACGTAAAAAATTCATTCCCCCAGGAAAGCTGCAGCAAATAAAATGAGAGACAGATCGTTGTCCAAAGGTCGCACAGGCAATGCAAATTGTAGCCAAATTATTCCTGTTTCGAGTAGAGATCAGGTGGAAATAGAGGAGTCGTTTCTCCAAAGCAAGTTCCCATTACAGTACGAGAAGCCTGCACGCAGTTTTTTTCTTGTAAGAACTAAATCTGTGCACATCTGGAATACTGAACGCCTGTTAAAAATCTCTGAGCCGGGACAGTAATCTGGTCCTATAGTATATTCTGCAAATGCTCACGAATTGCAGCCAAATTTCCATGCCTCTAAGCAGCGTATCAGACTAACAAATAATAACAGCAGCCAGGTGCTGAAAGTTAATGCTGAACCTGAAATCAGATCCAGGGTTGAATTATTTATTGAAATTCCATGACTTTATTTGCAGTATTAGAAGAGAGAGTCACTGGCAGGCACTGCAAATAAAGGTCTGAATGGGGGGTGTTGCTGATAAGGGCATTCAGCTGACCCCAGCATGGGCCATAATCTGCCCTCAAAGACCTCATTTTGTATCTTATTTAACATCACACAAATACTGTCCATCATTCACTTCTAAGATGCAATCAGAAAACTGATTAAAGAGCAATCAGCAACCCTCAGGAGCTGTCCTGCAGCGGGCAGGATTTGCTCTTTCTGTCTCCTCTTGCATCTCCAAAGTTAACGGGGCTGCAGAGGGTATGAGAGAAGCTTCATCCCGAGATGCAATGAATGTTTACGACTTTCACCAGAAGCTGATCAAGTTGCCTTGTAAAGAAGCAGCACACCGCAGGCTCAAACTAGTCTTTGGTTTGATGGTTGCACCCCCGTATGACTTCCCAATGCAACCCACGATAACTTCAGGAAATTAATTACTTACCGATACGATATTACCAGCATTTGGACTGCCAAGAGAATACAAATGCGATATAAACATATTTTCTGGTTCCCAGATGCTCACAGAGAAATCACTACAGAGTTGAGTGTTTAGTGGATATTTTTTCACTTTCAATATTTTATTATCTGCCAGAACTGCTGTATTTGTTCATCGGACCATTCACACAGACATACAGTCAAATTAAGGGGGTGTGACACCGCAAGGGAGTCTTTGCTGATAGCCATCGACAAAGCAGGGGAATGCAACTCTCTCTGAATATTTCATTAAAGAAACAGAGAGCAAGTTCTGAGTTTGTAAATGTAAACACCTGCAATGAAAACAAGAGTCTAAGATGTACACACAAACAGCAAGCAAACATTCCTTGTGACTC